GGGTTTTCTCCCGCGTAAAATTGGAAGTGTCTTGCTCCTCGAAGCACGAAGCTGAAAACACCAGCCTGAAGATGACGAATGGGACTTCGTCGAAACGTCGCCAAGACACTTCCAATTTTACGCGGGAGAAAACCCAAACAACCAAAGACATTATATATATATATATATATATATATATATATATATATATATATATATATATAGTGCTATTTGATACACCCTGTCGACCCAAATATGGGAGAAAGAAATCTTTTGCCTTGTATCAGCTCAAACTAGAGCCATCCACAGGCATGTCAGTCACAACTGCGACATCGTATATATTTCTAAAATTTGGATTGCTAGCAAAGAATTAAAGGAGAACTGGAATAGCTATTTCGAACTTTTTAGTTCTTATCAACTAGACATACCTTTTCTGAGATTCGAACCTGCAGGGCTGTCAGGGCTCAGTGGGAGTGCCAGGATCAGTGCCAGGCTCCAGCTGGAGCTCGGCGCTGATCTGGGTGCTTCCGCTGAGCCCAGAAGAAGCACCAATCAGCTGGAACTAGCACTGATCCTGGCACTTCTGCTGAGCCCAGAAGAAGCACTGCTCAACTGGAATGTTGCAACATCTCCAGAGTCTTCTGATTTACATTCAGATGCTTGACAACTGATTCATATTTATGACGGTCACAGTGTCACACGGTCATATGAAGTGACCAAAACCTGCTGCAGCCACCCAGCAGACGGGGGGAATAAAAACCAAACACCCCCCACTCCACCCCCCCTGCCAATCCTCAACAGAAATGCTCACAACAATGAAAACCTCAGACAGGAGGAAGAGCACCGCCGGGCGGGCAGGCAGGTGTCTTGCTCGGCTGTGGCTTGGGGGGCACTTTTTTCAGTGCCATTGTAACTTTGGACAGTCACTAAGCGAAGTGTTGTAAGTTGAAGACTACCTGTACTTTATCACTTTTTCCCCCTTTTTTGGGGTCAAGTTTTTGACCCCTTGCTAGGCGACTGGTGGTACTTGGATGTTGCCATATCCTAAAAATGGTACAATGGGTGAAAAGGTTGAAAAGCCCTGTTCTATAAGAGTGCGTGTGTGTTTGTGTATGTACTGACTGGCTCACTTAGCAACTGCAGCTACAACAGTGATGAAAAAGTATCCTTGTCACCTGTCCTCACATTTATGACCTTTGCATTTCTGTAAAGAAAAGATAGGCTGAAGCAGGATCATAAGCACAGTCATAATTTTATTTATTTATTTATTTATGAGACTTATATACCGCTTTAAGTGCAAGCACTCTCTAAGCGGTGTACACCAGTAAGCAATGTATATATATTACATATAAGCAGTGCTTTTTTTGTAAAAAAAAAAAAAAGGTGCCGGAACTCACACATGTTATACAACCTGCCTTGCCTACCCTACAAGGTTCCATCCAAAAAAGGTGCCGGAGCTCCATTCTGAGCGTTCTATGACAAAAAAAGCCCTGCATATAAGTCATATTACTTATATGTAAGGGTGTAGGTCTATAGACTCTACACATATGTTGTATAAAGTATGCTTAAGTGTGTGTTATGTATGTATACATTTTGAGAACAAGCAAGTAAATTTCATTTTTAATATGTGCCGTTGTGCCCACAGTAAAAAATGACAATAAAGGTTATATAATCTAAATTTCACTTAGCACCTGCCTTGCTTAACGACCAAGTATGGTTGCTAAATGAAAAGTATATACACAGACACACCCACGCACATCAGTGATGGCAACAGTGAAACAGCCTTGCCTTCTAATATAGTATTTTCCAGTGCTTTTTTGTAAAAAAAAAAAGTGCCGGAACTCACATACATCATACAACCCGCCTTGCCTACCCTACAAGGTTCCATCCAAAAAAGGTGCAGGAACTCCGCTCTGGGCATTCTATGACAAAAAAAAGCCCTGGTATTTTCATTCCATCTTCTGGATCTCTTGGAAATATCTGATTGGCCACAGTTAGATGTGAAATGACTCTTTTTTTAAGTTGCTAGATCTTGAGTAACATTTGTTTCTATTTCTGTTTTAGAAGTTCTAGCGTTTTCCTTTCACATACATTACAAAACTGTTGAAAGCTATCAAGTCCCAAAAGTTTGCCATCCTTGTGTTAGACCGATGCCAACAGGAATATAAGCAGTCCTCACTTAACAACTATAATTGGACTGGTAGCCCCATCACTAAGCAAAGTGGTCATTAAGTGAAACATTACATGACCACACCAACCAATGATTGATTTTGCTTGTCAGAAGCCAGCAGGGAAGATTGCAAATATTGATCACATGATTGCAGGGATGCTGCAATGGTCATAAGTGCGAGGGCTAGGTCATAAGTTATTTTTTTCAGTCCCATCACAACTTTAAACAATCGCTAAGCGTCTATAATACATATGTCAAAGGGTTTGTTTGGAGGTTCTAGCAGGGAAGTGCAGCTATCATATAATCCTAATGGAAGATTGCTACAATCCTTCTATCTGCGATGGATTCCTCTTCGTCTGCAGCTTTGGGAGGGAAGCATATGGAGCAGTGAGGTAGGATGGGGCCATCTGGTCAGCCAGTTCAGCCAAATCTATGCTAGATATCAATGAGATGACAGATATCACAACTAAATCAATCCCACATCCGTCTTCCCTACTTGCCTTCCTTTGAGCCACTGTCGTTGTATATCTTGTTCAAGGTTGTGTAGAACCATGCATAGTTTCTAAAGTTTACAATGAAGTAACCAACCTATTGATATGACTTGTTCAAACAAATATTACAACTTGCAAATATTTATTGAGTTCCATTGGCCCCAAAAGAAAGCCCCAGATGATTTTTTGGGGTGGGTCTAATATAAACCCTCCCCCGAAAGTAAGCCCTAGTTAAGGGCCTGCACGGACGGCCTGCCACTGACTCTGTCTGGTTTCACCATAGACACAAGATAAGGGGGGGGAGGATCTGCTAGTGCCTCTGTGACAAGGCGAAGCCAATGGGGCAGGGGGGATCTGACACACGGTACTGGCATACTGGTTCCTTACTGCTGCCCGACTTTTTCCACAGCCTCATGGCAGCGGCAATGGGCACAATGGTGAGGCGGCCAATGGCCGGTTTTGACACAACACAGCTGTTTGCTATCAGCCATGGCCGTTGGCTGCCTCGTGCATCGTGCCCAATGCCGCTGCCATGAGGCCTAGCAGATCCTCCCGCCTTCTGACCCATGTGCCATTATACCAGTTCCTTATTGCTGCCCGGCTTGTTCTGTGGCCTCAAGGCAGCAGTATTGGGCAAATGGCCATTTTCGGTGTAATGCAGCTGTTTGCTGCCAGCCGCCGCTTCACACATCGCGCCCAATGCCACTGCCAGGCCTACCGTATGTTAACTCTAACCACCACTGCCCCCCAACCCTAACGGGAGATGGGAAGCCCTGGGGAAATAAAGGGAAAAACTTGGGTGGGAAAAAACCGTTTTTCTCATTTGTTTCCAAAGCAGTTCCCACCCGCCCGCTTCACCACCCTCTCTCTCCAAGCCTCCGACGCTCTACCTGCCGCTTTGGTGGCTTGTAGGCAGAGCTGCAAGGTCTGACTCCGGGGTGATAGAGAATGGGCAGGTGAGGGGGGAACCTGCCCCACTTGTTCTGCAGCTGCTTTCAGCTGAGCTGCTTTGCGTTCTCCAATGGCCCACCTGCCTGCTTCACCATCCTCACTCCCTGAGCCTCCGGTGCTCCACTGCTGCTTTGGTCAGCCTAGCAACCCCTACCTCACCACCCTGCCCGTCGCCCAGCATGGCCACCTTGGGGCTGCAGGGCCTGGTCTGGCACAGGAAGGGCATGTGCCCCGCCCTCCAGCCCTGGTAATGTACCTGGTTCGCATTCTCGCTGCTGCATTGCTTCTCTACCCTATGCACAGGCCCTGCCCCAGGCCTGTGTGCTTGTGGCCTACTACCATAGTAGCGGCAAAAAATAAGCCCTCCCTGAAAGTAAATCCTAGTGCTTACTTCAGAGCCCAAAAGAAAGTAAGACCGGGTCTTACTTTTGGGGAAACACAATATCTTGTATGTTAGGTTATAGCTTTAGTTTGGCAAGATTCTGTCCATTAGATATAAGCAGATAAAGGATTGGACTTGATTGGATTTTGTTGCATTTCCTTGGGCTTGGCCCTGACATGCAGCCATTTACCTAGCCACCCTTCTCCTTTTGAGTCACCTGGCATTTGCTTCCACATTTTTTGTTTGTTGGAAGCTGGCAGGAAGTTATTAGGAAATCCTTAATGACTCATGTTCCTCTTTTAATGACAGCAATAGGACTGCTGGGAATGCCATTGCTAAGCAATGCAGTCATTTGCATTGGACCATGGTGACTCATGTGGTTAGGACACTGGATTGGGGGTTAGCAAGCCCACATTTGAGACCTGAGTGCTGCTGCACGGTGGAGTGAACTCCCATCTCTTGCTCCAACTGCTTGACAGGGATATGAAAGGAGTTTCCAAGGGTGTTACCTGGGCAACAGTGATGTCACTGGCTAATCTTTTCAACCTGTACCTTAAATGTGTGTCTCCGACATGAACAGGATGGGGGACCACATTACTTAGTGATGGACATTTTAGGATCAACTGCTGTTGTAACCTAAGATCTATTAAAGCTATTAAGCTCAAGGTTTATTTCCTTCTGAATGTTACTAATTTTCCTGTTTTTTTGACACCTGTATAGGATTACTTAATTTGAATGTCGAGTCTCATATTTTCATTAATCTGTGTAACATTTTATTTCTACTTTTGTACTGAAATTGTTCCATTTCTGTACTATTCTAGCTCTGCAACCTACGCAAATGCAATTTCTATTATAGTTTTTATATACAAAGTGTATAAATACTTATTGTCTTAAAGCCAGGCTATTTCACTAAGTTACCTTTGTCTCATTGTGCAAATAAGCATTTCTGCATAGTGCTAAAATATTTATCAAACCAGTGTTGCTTTCATACATTTCAAGCAACTACCAATGCTGTTTCACAACTTAATTGGCACCATTTTTTATTTATTAAGCATAGTTTACAACATATTATTTAACTCTTCCAGTAACAACAAATGTCCAGGTATGGAAAATATAATTAAGTGAACAATGTAGTAAAAATACATTATAGTGAAATAACTGGAGAAGTGGTTAGAAACAGCAATTCATATTCTTAACAGTTAAACAAACAATAATATGTTTAACAAACAGATTATATCAAAATTCCTGAATTAAGTATATTCTCACAGTCTAATAAACCAGCCAATATGACAATTAAATCCAAGCCTTTTGTATAAATTTAATATTGGAAGATCCTGACACATATTATAGATGTGTTTAAAGATTGTAGGCATATACTAAATAATGAATTTAGAAGATGGATATTAGCCAATTGATTTAAAAGCACTTAGGATATTATCTAGTCATTAAAAACAAATTAGCTGTTTAGAAGCATCATTTTTGGAATAATTTCAGTAGCAAAATTTGGTTTTACTTTTCTTCCAACAATATAAATATGGCTGTTAAAATAAGGTTCCATATAATTTTCATGATGACTGGAAGTATTGTTGACTTATGTTTACAATTAATGCAAAATAAAATATCAATAATATACACATCTAATGATTAGGCACTGCCATTTTCATTTTTTGGCTTCTTTGTGCAAAACTTTAATAGTAAATAAGATAATTCAAGCACATTTAAGAACATGCAAATGCCTGAAACCGCAAGCATGAAAATAGTAAATACAGTTTTTTCAGTGGGTCGGGAAATAAAACAGTCAACTGTATTTGGGCAAGGAAAATCAGTACATTTCACTACCCGAGGCATTTGATATCCTCTGTAAATGTAGTAAAATATATATATGAAGGCTACCTCAAAGATAATTCGGAAAAAAATGCTACTAGTGTATGTCCACCATAGGGGACCCTCGATATGAAACCTTTGTCTTTTGAGATCTTCAACATCCATCTTTCTGTGTCTATATTCCTGTTTTTTTTTATGTTTTCTGTATGCCACATGCATTGCCACCAACAGAGCAGGGGTAGAGACAAAGATAAGTTGGAGAGCCCAAAGTCTAATGTGAGAAAGTGGGAAATGCTCATCATAGCAGACATTTTTACATCCAGGTTGTAGGGTATTACAAGAAAAGTCTTGCTGCTCGTCTCCCCAGACCTTTTCTGCTGCAACCACAAGAATCATGACACGGACAATAAACAGGACAGTGAGCCAGATTTTCCCAATGCTGGTGGAGTGTCTGTTTACACCTCCTAAGATGGCTTGTAGAGCTCCCCAGTCCATAACTGAGTGTGTTCTTTGGTCTGTTAAGACAAAAATAATATGCCAGTTTATAAGCAGTTTCTTTCCATAATAAAAGTTTCATTTAAAATTCTCACATTTTAACTAGGCTAAAGAAAGAATAAAATTTCTGCTACAGAACTGATAGTTAATGTTAATGAATAATTTATGGAAACGGTTCCATAATATTTACCAATTATTGCTATTTGTTAGTGCCTGCAGTTGCCACATGACTGTTCCATAGAAGCAAATAGATTTAATAATCACTCCCTGCTGTGAAAATGGAAAATGTAATACCAGAAACTGAAATATTTTAGCAGCACCCTCAACCACAATAAAAGAACACATTTATTTTTTAAGAAAAGGATGCCAAGCTACATTCTTTATTCTATTCCTTTTTTCTTTAGTTCTATATTTCTAAGATTGTATGATTGAGAATACCACCACTTTTTCTTGACTGATAAGCTTCTGTGGAAGCATTTGTGGCTATGATAATTAAAAGGTATATTATTTAAATATACAACAAATATATAATATACACAATTGATACAAGTTTATTATATAGAAGTTTAAATTCCATTGAAAATGCCTACTACTAGATTTGTTTGACAAACATCATTAACATCCAGTAGAAACTTATTCTTTAAAATTCAGCTAAAATCTTCGCTTATTTACTTTTAATTATTTTTAATCATTCTTTTGTGCAACAGTTTTATGTCTCCATATAAATACACTGTCAACATAGATTATTTTTTAAAAAATAACAAGTATGCTTTTAACTCCAATATTCAGTTACCCATTCAACCACTGCATAATCTAAAATTTTATTAAACTATATTTTTAGTGTATCTTATTGTAAACCACCCAGAAACTTTTGGTTATTGAATGATTTTAAAATGTTAATAAACAAAGAAAATAAAATTCCAAATAGTTTGAAAAGAGGCACATACTAACTGGTATATCAGATCTAGAATCTTAACAATGAAGATTAAGACAAGACACAAACTTAAGGTGGAAATTTCATTGAAATTACTAATATTAATGAGATATTATGATAATAAAAAGAAATTAAAAGATGCTTGCTCCTGGGGAGGAAAGCTATGACAAATCTAGACAGCATACTAAAAAGCAGAGACATCACCCTGCCAACAAAAGTACGTATAGTCAAGGCCATGGTTTTCCCAGTTGCAATGTATGGCTGTGAAAGTTGGACCATAAGAAAGGCTGACCGCAAAAGAATTGAGGCCTTTGAATTATGGTGCTGGAGAAGATTCCTAAGAGTACCCTGGACTGCAATCAAACCGGTCAGTCCTAGAGGAGATCAAACCTGACTGCTCTTTAGAAGGCCAGATCCTGAAGTTGAAACTCAAGTACTTTGGCCACCTAATGAGAAGGAAGGACTCACTGGAGAAGAGCCTAATGCTGGGAAAGATTGAGGGCAATAGAAGAATGGGACGACAGAGAATGAGGTGGCTGGACGGAATCACTGAAGCAGTAGGCATGAGCTTAAATGGACTCCAGAAGATGGTAGAGGACAGGAAGGACTGGAGGAATGTTGTCCATGGGGTCACGATGGGTTGGACACGACTTTGAAACTAACAACAACAACATGATAATAAATATGACACTGTACAATTCATTCCTCAGGACTGCCTCTTGCAATTGTTTTCTAGGGATAGCAATATAGTTGCCAGGAAACTTTTAAAAAATGATGATAGATATGAATATAGGTAGTCCTCAACTTACGACCACAATTGAGCCCAAAATTTCTGTTGCTAAATGAGACAGTTTTAAGTGAATTTTGCCTATTTTACAATCTTTCTTGCCGCAGGTGTTAAGTGAATCACTGCAGTTGTTAAGACAGTTAAGTGAATCTGGCTCCCCCATTGACTTTGCTTGTCAGAAGGTCACAAAAGGTGATTACATGACCCCGGGACACTGCAACCATCATAAATATGAAGCAGTTGCCAAGCATCTGAATTCTGACGTGACCATAGGGATGCTGCAACAGTTGTAAGTGTGAAAAATGGTCATAAGTCACTTTTTTCAGTGCTGTCATAATTTAAAATGGTCCCTAAATGAATTGTTGTAAATCAGGGATACCTGTAATAGAAAGAGTATCCTGACCATAGATGCATTAATTATCACAAATACACTAACTGAGAAGCCAAACCATTTCTCACTTTGTATCCATAATGGAATGAAAAAAGATACTAGGTTGTTATTTGCATGTCCAAATAAATCTACGTAAAATATTATGTTTTAATTAATGAATTTTCAGGGCTTATAGGTTGCTCAAATCCACCAACGTAGAAAGGAGAACAGCTTCCAATGCCTTATTAAAAATATAACAAATGCAAAACAAGTTAAAAACAACATTATGCATCACAAAAAACTGGGAGAGATTTCAAAAGCTATCTTTAAGGAATATAATTCATTATGCAATTATTATTAATGAATGAATTTGTACTCTGATTTTGTGTTGATACAGTTACCGTATATGCCGGCGTACAAGGCAACCCGGCGTATAAGACGACCCCCGTCTTTGTCGCCGAGCCGCATTCCTAGAACGTCATCTTATACGCCGGAAACTACCAGTATTTCTGGCGTATAAGACAACTCGGCATATAAGACGACCCCCGTCTTTGGCGCCAATTTTAGCGCTCGCGGAAGTCGCCTTATACGCCAGCATATACGGTATTTAAAATGGTTTAAAACAATCTAATTAATTAATTAATTATGTAAAATGGATGTTGGCTAAACAAGTTTATGGAATAAAACATTACAGGTACTGTAGTCCTTAACTTACAACAGTTTATTTAGTGACCATTCAAAGTTACAACAACACTAAAAACAGTGACGTGACCATTTTTCACACTTACGACCATTGCAGCATCCCCATGGTCATGTGATCAAAATTCAGATGCTTAGAATTGACTCATATTTATGACAGTTGCAGCGTCCCGGGGTCATGTGATCACCTTTTGTGACCTTCTCACAAGTAAAGGCAATGGGGGAAGCCAGAGTCACTTAATAGCCATGTCACTAATTTAACAACTGCAGTGATTCACTTAACAACTGTGACAAGAAATGTCATATAATGGGGCAAAATTCACTTTAACAAATGTTTCACTTAGCAACAGAAATTTTGGGCTCAATTCTGGTCCTAAGTTCAGGACTACCTCAATTTACGATTTGAATGGAAAGATAACCTAAGGCTGAAGCAGATTGTCTCAATCCAGGAATTAACAAACTTGACAGAAAGAATTGGTTTCCTTTCAGAGTAAAGCTATAAATAATCTATATATATATAATAGATCTATAAATAACAGTACAGAATACAGGATATTTTCTTTCTATTACAACAGCTGCGGAGACAAGAATGCTACTCTATGCTGTCCAGAGGGCTATTCAGAAAAACTGATCAAATCCACATTTTGAATTTAAAATATGCTGTTCATTTGCATAAACATGTAAAATTATCTTCTTTATATTTGCTTTTGCCTTGTCCTGGATCCAGTTTCTATTTATGTCAAATAATTTGAAAAAAAACCCCAAACCTGTAACACATGCAATGTAACTTCAAACATGAATCCATCGGTAACACAGCCTACAATACTTTGATTAAAAACTTACCACGATTGTAAGGCTAAATATAAATCGGATCTTTTGATTTCAGTGGGCAAGAAACAGATGTTCCCTTGCAGAGAGAAAAAGAGAGAGATCCTTTTCATCACACAAATTGGGGTTTTTGTTGAAGCACACCAATTACTTGCTGAATCTCTTCTGGACAAAATGAAAGAAGGTAACATCATCCATTCTCCTGTCTCCCAAGGAAGGAATCCCCCTGCCGTAAACTCCCCAATTTCTCCATACAATTCAATACTGGAGGCGAATCTTATTTGCTGAACTGGGATGTGGCTAGAAAAAAAAAGCATTCCTCCAAATACTTGCCTTCTCCTTACATGTCTCTTCCCTTTCCCTCTTTTTCTCCCTCTCATACAGATGTCTTCCACCACAAATCTATAACCACCCCACTGTTTCCTCAAAAAATCCAGATTCCTTCAAGAAAAGGAAAAGTAATGCCTGTACTGATCTGCTCAGTTTAAATGCTTCTGGTTAGCTCCAACAGGCTGGATGCGCGCCTCCCTCTTCTCTGGCGCTCTCCGATTTCCAGGCTCCTTATGGATTAGAACAGAGGTGCCCAACCTTGGCATCTTCAAGATTTTTTTTAACAGAATAATAGTTGGACCTTGGAGGTTTTCTAGTCCAATCCCCTGTGGACTTCAACTCCCAGAGTTCCCCAGCTGGCATGGCCGGCTGGAGAATTCTGGAAGTCCCACAAATCATAAACTTGCCAAAGGTGGACACCCTTGAATTAGAACTTCTCATTTTCCTCCAAACACCCAATTTTTCTTCTTCTTTTTAAATCTCCCCTCCTTTCGTCAGTTTTGAGGGAGAAACTGATCGCGCGGTCCGCGCAAGCAGGCCTTCGGGCGATAGCAGGCGTCCCCTCACCTTTGAAAGCAAACTGGAGGCGGGAACTCAGAAGTCGCGAGTCTTTTGGCACCCGGCTCTCTCTTGGTCTTCTTGCGCGACGGCCAGCCGGTGCGCCCGACCGCTCCCGACTGGTTGAGGTGCAGTAGCTTTTTAATTACGCCTCCAGCGGACGCTGTTGCAAAAAGCAAGAGGCGGGAAAAGACCGAAGGCGGGCGAGAAGACAAATTAAAGGTAGCAAATTTTCCCAGTCCGGATCCTCGTCCGGAATTGTACAACTCGGATTTGCATCTGCCCAGCACCTTTGAGGCCAGCAATATGACGTGATTAGAGCTTTTTTTGAAGGCCTATTTATCTATTTTTATCTCGCAATTCAAGAAGTGGAAAATCAAACTCACTCAATCAGAAAGCATTAGCCACCCTTTGCTGCTGTAAAAATGAAATACAGGTAGTCCTCAACTTACAACCACAATTGAGCCCAATATTTCTGTTGCTAGGTGAAACATTTGTTAATTAAATTTTGCCCCATTTTATGACCTTTCTTGCCAAAGTTAAGTAACTCACTGTAGTTATTAAATTAGTAAATGGTTGTTAAGTGAATCTGGCTTCCCCATTGACTTTGTCAGAAAGTCTCCAAAGGTGATCCACATAACCCCAGGACATGGCAACCATCATAAATAGGAGTCAGTTGCCAAGAGTTTGAATTTTGATCACATGACCATCGGGATGCTACAACGGTCATAACTATGAAAAACGGTCGTAAGTCACTTTCCCCAATGGTGGTATAACTTTGAACGGCCACTAAATGAGCTGTTGTAAATCGAGGACTAAGTTGCTTCCTTGATACTAGAACAGACATGGTTTATCATCTATGCTCAATCATCCAGATTATGGTTCCCCCAAAGATGCTTTTTTCAAAAGGCAACTGGACTTTCTTGGTTTTTTTTCTTAAAAAATGTTTCGCTTCTCATCCAAGAAGCAAAAAGTTTTCAAAGAAAAAAAAATCAATAAACTCCACTTGCCTTTTGGAAAAAACACCTTTGGGAAGACATGGTTTATCATTGCCTCTCCATGAGATGTTTTCCACTTTCCCTGTTTAGCCTGTAGACTTGTTATTTCATACAGGGCTTCCAACCAAGAACCAAACTCAAACTGGACATACCCTGCTTTACTTCCCAGCCCAACTACTTCCAGAAGCTAGAAAAGAGAAATAATTAGTTCATTTCTTGTTAGGATTTGAATTAACTGCTTGGGACAGTTACAGTGCCTCAGTTATCCAACAATAAGATCAGCCTGCTTGAAGAAATGATCTAGAAAACCAAGCCCACTAAAGATGGAAATATTCCTACAGTGTCTTTTGAATGTGAATGCTAGGAGATGTGTGCTTGAAGGCATTATGGATTCTATCCATCTTGTTCCTTCCATAAAGATGTATGTTTTCTGGGCATGCTATCCTAGCTAAATATTGTTAATTATTATTAAGTTATTCCTATCCTTCACTGACTGTCTCCTGTGAAAAAGAAAAATGGAGAAAATATAAAGCTGGTCGCTTATAAATTAAATGATCTAATTCCATGCCAGAGAGTCTCAGCCAACAGTTTGTACACACCAACAGATGAGATGGGTGAGCAGGAAAATTGGATTGGCTTTTCACAGACGTGGGGATGATATGTGACTCCAACGAGTGTGCGTGGTAAGTTTCAATGATGGAAGAATACAGCTCATTTTCTCCCTTTCCCCAGTATAACAAAATATGAAAATTTAATTGAAACAAGTGAAACACATTTAATTAGTTTTAGAACAACTGAAGTAAAATGGAGATTCAGTGCTTGAGGATAAGAAAAAGATAAAATTTTACAAAACGTATACACAATACAAACTAAATAATATAGAAAGGTAAATGCTCAACCTAAATAAAAGGGGGAGGGAGGGAGTAGGATGGGGGGAGGAGTTATTAGTCTGTCATCCCCTCCAATGTGAACCCCCCTTCATTGGAGCCTCAACCCAAAATGGCAGGGCCAGGTCTTCAGGCTCTTGCGGAAGGTCAGGAGGTATGGAGCCGACCTCACTCTGGGGGACCACAAGATACGCAGGAATATTAGACATTTTATGATGCCTAATAATTAACTTTGGAAGGTCTTCAGAACCAGAATGATTTCTTTTTTACTGCTATTGTATTATTATTATTATTATTATTCATTCTAGTACAATGATGGCAAACCTTTTAGAGACCCAGTGCCCAAACTGCAACCCAAACCCCCCTTATTTATCACCAGGTGCCGGGTGGGTGTGGCTGCAGTGGTCATTGCAGACTGGGTGGGTGAGGCCTGGGCGGCGGGGATCAGTCCCTCACCATCTCCAGGGCACGGCACACGTGCCCACAGAGAGGGCTCTGAGTGCCGCCTCTGGCACACGTGCCATAGGTTTGCCACCACTGTTCTAGTACATTATTTGTTTATATTTTGTACCTGCCTAATGTTCTGTAGGATTAGTGCAGTTAATAAAATAAACACATATGGAAATTATAGAATTCTATAAAAATTCTGTGTAGAAATTATAAATTGCATATAATTGCATATGAAACATTTTTCAAATCTTGGTTCCTCCTGCACTCAATGACTTCTTTTTATTTTGCATAATTCTTTGCATCGGATTATAGTTTTGATTTATCAAAATCCTTAAGTATGTATGACTTAATACTGTACATTCTCTTAAACAACATATCCTTTGTTAAAGGATGTCACTGCGTCCATTGTCTCTGTAGTTAGCATAGAATAGAATATTCTGGTATTGCTTCATTATGGAAATGTCTCCTAACATTGTATGTTACCTGTTAGTTAAGTTTTAATATGTAGCTGAGGTTCTATCTAGCTGGCTCTGGATAGTGCTAGATTCAGTGTATGCTTTGATGTTTGATAACATCTTTTTGGTATTGCTAAAAATGTATAGTTGCAATAATAAAATAAATATATTAAAATGAGGAAAATATTTTTCTTGGCTTAAACCAGTCAGTATATGTCTTTTTCAGTCAAGGAAAAATTACATTCCATTTACTTTTCTTCCTGTTATTCCTACCCTTAATTACTCACAATCATAATATTTTTATCTAATTGTTTTTAAACCTGTTCTGCTTTGACAAGTAAAAATAAACTCACTGTTCAGGGCATCTTAATGGGTCTGTAATTTTACAAAGAATGGTTGAGTTATATTTTGCACAAAACTATTACAATTTGTTCAGTTTTGTTTTAGCATGAGATTTATGAACCTAACTGGCTATGGTTTGCAAATCATAATTTATGGCATAATATGATGCTTGAAGCTAGCCATTCTCAGATTCAGTAAATTGTGGGTAAAGCAACTATAGTTTATCCTAATGTGTGAATCCAATCTCTGGTGACCATGTACACCATCCTTGAAAGAGACAATATGTGAACTCCTAACATTGTAATATATAAATATGCTGTTGATAATTGATGTCTATGTGGAAACTATAAATGTAACTAAATTTTCCCCATGTCTTATAATTACATTAATTCCCAAAAAATTTTTGCATCTCAAGTGACTTTTAGCAGTGAACTCTATCAGCTCACAGTCTCTGGAGATGAGATTAGGTTGTGAATCACTGCCTATTATGAAAGATATACCGATGATTAAAATATGTGCTCCAGAATGATAAATTCCATGCCTATTATGTTTCAGAATATAAATATGATATGTGGTTTCCTCAGAAGTCATATATGGTATTCATCTAGCAAGAGACTACTGAGTGATGCAGTGTTCTTCCATATTCCATTTTTAAAAATCCAATCTATTTATATAAAATTAATGATGAATTTTCCAAGCAACAAAAAATAAAGTAAAAAATCTTTCAAACCTCCTAGCTATAGAGAGAATCATGTTTATCACCTTACCATATAGCTTTTTAAAAAAAATAGAGTGATTTTTTTATTATTTTTACTGTTTGTATATTGGGTTTTTATTTTTTGTAAGCAGCTTAGAGTCATTGAAAGAGAGTGGGCAGCCACATAAATTCTATAAAGGAAGGAAGGAAGGAAGGAAGGAAGGAAGGAAGGAAGGAAGGAAGGAAGGAAGGAAGGAAGGAAATGGCAACCATAAATCAGCACGACAAACATGGTTGATATGGATGTGCTTTGTTGAATGTTTAAAATAATATAAGCCAAAAAATTGTTACTTAAAATATTCTTTTGAGGCCAGCCTTTCCCATCTGGTGCTTTCCAGTCATGCAATGTCCCCATACTCTTCAATCATATCCGTTGGGTAGACTTGACCTAGAAAAATGAAATTAGCAATTTCATTTTTCCCAGTAATCATATTTTTTTAAAGCTGAAGACATTTACTTCTCTGTTAAGAAGGCATATATGCATTTCATTGTGTTCTCTTGTTCTAATTGCATCTAAATCAGTTTAAAACCTCAAGTTTAGGAGAATGTATGTAGATAGAATACAACAATTAATGTAGCCTATCTTTAGAACTGATTTGCTAATATGAGATATGCGTATTTAAAATTTGGGTCAGTGCAGTGGGTCAGTGGTTAAGATATTGGGCTTATTAGTTGGAAAGCCAGGAGCCCAGGTTCAAGACCTGAATTCCGCATGATGGGGTGAGTTCCCATTCTCACCCCAGCTTCTGTCAACCTATCATAGGAGTTTGAAAGTGTACAGATGCAAGTAGATAAATAGGTACCACTTCAGTGGGAAGATAACAGTATTCCGTGACGTCATGCTGGCCACATGACTATGGAAATATCTTCAGACAGTGCTGGCTCAGTGGCCTTGAAATGGAAATGAGCACTTACCGCTGTAGTCGGCAACAACTAGCAGAGTAAAATCCGCAAGGGCTCCTTTATCTTATATATTTAAATTTTATATTTATATTTCACCTAAGCAGTTGTCTACAGTGTAATACTAATAATACTACTAATAGGGCTATTCTATATATTTGGATGATACCACTCTAATGGCAGAAAGTGAAAAGGAACTAAAGAGCCTCTCGATGCGGGTGAAGGAGAGTGCAAAAGTTGCCTTGAAACTCAACATTAAGAAAACCAAGATCATGGCATCCGGCCCTCTCAATTCCTGGCAAATAGATGGGGAAGAAATGGAGGTAGTGACAGATTTTATTTTC